ACTAGGATACCGCTCACGCTATTTTTTTCGGAATTTTTTTTTGGAATTCCAGCACAAAAAAAATAATGAAGGCAATCCATTTGCTCGAAACATTGCTTTAAAAATTAACAAACAAGGCTGTTTTTATATCCAAATTGGGTGGTTTTGCTGTAGAGAATCTAATCTTGATGTGAATCAATCTTTTTGCGAAATCTCATGCGAACAAGACTAACTGTACTCATTAGAAAACATAAGGTTTTTCTAACAATCATACTACTGATTGAAACATCTGCAGTTTCATGCTATACTATAGAAATCTATCGACTTCGTTGGAAGAAAAACTACCCGAAAACAGTCTAATGATGCAGCGGCAGCATTCGAGCAAGAGTAACAGAAAAAACTGAAACAGCAGTCGGAATTTGTGTAGTTTTGTTTTGGGAGAAGCAAAGACAGGTGAAGACGCACACGGCAATCAAAATCAAAATCTGGGGGAGAAGAGCCCACCAATGAAGAAAAGTCGAACCTCCTCTCATCATGAAATCACCCAAAAAGTAGCAGACCATGGAAGAAAATACAGGCAAAAACCCGCAAGCAGAGGCGCTATGCGAAAGCACTGACAAGGGAGAATGGTTGCCACGAAGTGCAGAAGCATTCAGCACCATGGAAGTGCTCGGTGTTCGAGGTCAATAGATCTTGGAAAGAGATATCTGTTAAAAGGAATGGGAACAAAAAGTAAATCCATGAAAATGCATGTCGGTCGACATAGTAGACCTATGGGACACCTTTCAGAGCAATGCGCTGTAGGAGGATGAGAGTGTCAACCAAGGAATTTCGTCCTGATGAAACAGCAAAACTGAAGAAGTGACAAATTTAGAAAAAAGCGACTGCTCAAAAATTGAAATAAGACAAAAAAATGGAAGGAATGGGCAAAACGGATGGGAAAAAGGAAGAACCCGACAACCTGAGCGCGAGTGGCATTAACAACTGGAGCAGATTCTGCGAAGTTCTACGGATGGTTGCCAAAAGCTCAGCTGAGGTAATTCAGTTTACTGAATACAAGAAACAACCAAGGGATTCAACGGGATCAAAGTTTATGACTAATATGGCGTGCTGATGCACGAGGGAAAAAGGCTTGTTGCTCTGTGACGGTTGATTGGAGTGCGGAAGGAGAAACACGGCAGGGAAGGTCAACGTGGTGAGATTTGTTGCAGCGTACCCACCAGTGTGCAAAACACATACTCGGGATTTCACTGAGTAAAGGGAGAAACTGGCAGAAATTATGTTGCCAAACAATCTACTGGTAAATGGCGGAGATTCCAACTCCACTGTCGGTACAAAAATGCCACGAGCAGAGATGAGGTGGCCGGCTAGTTTGAAATGGGCAGAGTGCTTATTGCAGGTAGAGACATGATAGAGTAAGGCTGTGCACACTGCTCACTTGGATAAGCTCGTTCTCAGCCAGAACAACGGAGATACATTGAAGAACCCGAAGTTGAAACTTTGGCACGAGACAGACGGCTCTCTGACTAAACAGAAAGAAAAAAGATGCGGGTTTAAGCATGTCCGTTTAGTAGGGGCCGACAACGTGAGAGATCACACTGTGGCAAAAGATACTAAAGAACAGCCTCGAAAAATATCAACATACAACTCCAAAATTTCGTAATTGAATGAAATAATGGGAACAATGGAGAGACCTCAACACCAGGAGAAAAACCAGGTACCTATCAAGAAGCAATCATGGAGACTCGACACTTGGACCGAAGCAATAAAACAGTGCATGGAAGCTGAGGTTTAGATATGTGGGCAAAAAGCCATAAAAAATCAAATGCATGCATGAACTCCAAAAGCGGATCTCTCAAGTATTTGGAGACAAAAAAAAGTAGAAAGGCCCGAGGGATGACACAAAGGGCTATACAGGTGTGTGCCTGTTTGAAATGGCCAAAAGGTCGATTGCACGAGTCTGGAGACGAGGCTGCGAGAGTGGACCAAACCCAAAGAAACAACGGATGAAAAAGAAATCGGGTTCAGGGAAGCCGATCCATCACCGACTAGACGCATCAAAAAAGAGGAAAAATTGCGCCGGGTCTACGAATACATTGCGGGATGAGAATTAGGTCAACCGAGGGCTATACTTCTAAAAATAAAATGCCTGCCCCCAAACAAAAGAATTTTTTGATATGGACTGCTGAGCCAACTAGGTTTACCGGAACATGTTCTAATTCAAAGGCCCACATAAAGGAAGACACTTTAGAGTAAAAGGTCGAAGGTCGACAAGGCCTCATCAATAGCTGGCCACCCGCAAGGGAAGTGAGAGAAGGCTGTGCAAGATCGCCTATCCTCTTCAATGTGTACCACTTGCAGTAAATGAGGAGGTAAAACCGAAAGGCCAGTAAACTTGCCGCTCAGGAGAGAGGCCTGGAAAGCGGTTATAACTGGGATTTGACACTAGGGAGCAGCATCCCTCCCAAAGACTTTGGATGAGCATTCCGAAGCTTCAATTTAGAGGACTCCTTGGTCGCCGATGACTCCGCCCTCATTGAGAGAGCCAAATAAAATGACAGCGGAAAAGAAAGCTTCAAAGAAACGATGATGCCATGAAGGGAAGGTAGAGTTCATTTCCTTCGCAGCAACTAGCGTTCAAAGTACACTAATGCGTGAACAGGAATTAACAAGCATTAGGACCAATGCCAGAAGGTCAAATGAGGATATTTAGCCTGGAGCATGGTGAAATATAAGCTCTAGAAATCAAGCCTCTCAAAGCGGACTCAAGCACTCATAGTTCATACAGTAGTCGAACCGACCATGCTGTTCGACTGCGTTTTGAGACTCTGGCCGCCAACGACATTAGTAAGCTCCAGATTGTCGCAGACCGAGCATATAATTACGTATGGAACTCTGGAAACCCCCGCAATTGCTTCGGATGCAAGAGGAGAAAATTAACAGCGTTGAAATTCGGCAAAAACTTCAAATGGAATCAATGAGGATTAAGATTGAGATAAAAGGCCTGGAATGGCGGACAAAAAGATTATAAAGAAAGTAGCATTGGGATTTTGCGAAAGAAAAGAGACAGATGTAGAAGCGTCGTGTGGAAACACTATACTATAAGGGAGAAGACGGAAGATAGAAATATTTATCGAAAGGTACAAAGAAATGGAAAGGGGTGGCTAAGAAACGCACGAAATTCCTTTCCAGTTGGAAGGAGACGTGCAACTGGCATCTGGGAGAAGAGAAACCCAACATGTCCAAAAGGGAGAAGATAAAAGAAGAACACAAGTGAGGTTAGCCATGCTGATGAGAGGGCTGCTCTGCAGTCTGCTCTTTGAAGGGCAGCTGAACTAACCACCAGAGAATTTCACATCAAAAAGAGACGCTAGACTATCGCCCAGTGGGCACGGAACACATTCCCGGAGGAAGCGACATTAACTAATCACCACAAAATATGTAAAGGGGGACGCAGAGTACTTTGTCCAATCTGTAAGAAACACCTATCAGTGAAAAACAAAGCGAGACATGAAGGATCTTGCAAACAGAGAACTTCAACCAATGAACGACGCAACAGTAATCGGGAGGTATTTGAGAACGAGAGAAGAGGTACAATGCGACCGCACTGCCAAATCTTCGTTAGCATGAACGGGATATCGAGACCCCAAAAAGCTTGGCTATGGAAACGGCAATCAAAATCCCCTAATGGGACGTTACTGGAAACGATACCAAACGAAAAGTCGGCATGTTGCTGATGAAGCAGAACCAGTAACAAGCAACAACAGAAAACAGAAACCTTTTTCATGAAACACTTTAGCCAACAGAACGATGTCCTGGTGTTTCCCCACACTAACAACGAATTTTACTTGGAGAATCGCTCCACTATGAAACAGCCCTCAGCGCTTGTCTCGCTTCTTTAAGCGTCAACGGTAAAAGTGGTAGCATTAAGAATCGTCAAAACCATTATGTTGCGCTGGTAGACATGAAACCGATAATGGTTATTTCGATACGTCATGTGTATAGTTCAATTTTTTTCATAAATAAACATCTTTTTTAGTTTTTTGGTCAATGTGTAGCATGCTTGATCATTTTTTAGTTAAGTTATTTTTTAAGATTCAGTTCTTAGTTTCAAATTGCTTGCCAAATGAGGTTTTGAGCTCGTTGCTACAAGAAATAAATTCATTTCATCTTTTTTTTTGAAACGCTACACTTGAAGAAAATCATGGTTAACAGCGTGGGATGGTGGAACTAGGAGGTTGGGGACTAGGTGGATGCGTAGGTGAGAGGGGTGGGTGAAGATATAAGTGGTGATGAGATGTGAGGGTTAGCGTAGGTAGGGTGGGTAGGTGGGGGGAGGAGGTAGGTGTGCGGATGGGCGTAATTTTTTGGGCGTCAAACTTCAGAAAACCTGGGTTTAAACTGTAAGGGATACGGAGAAAAATCGAAAAGTTTTCAATCCTTTTTATTCCATTATAATGGGTTTTAAATGGATTAAAATTGATTAATTTCTCCTAAAAATAGTGAAATGCTATGGATTATAATCGATTGTGTGGTCCCACAGTATAATTTTAATCGATTATAATACCAACATTTTTGACCACAAAAATCGATTATAATCGATTATTATCCATGGAATCTCACTGCGGGGGGGGGGGGAGTGCTTGTTGAGTCCCTCCATCTAAATCAGCCTCTACCTATAAATTTTTATGAAAGAGTTTTCGAGAAACTCACTACCAAAAAAAATATGAAATCTTGCCTCAAAAGTATGAATTTTGCTTCAAAATGAGCGGTTTGAACGGTTTTTGAATGGTTTATCTAAAAAAAAACGCTCAAAAACCGCGCAAGATTTGAACGGTTTTTGAGCGGTTTTTCTAGATAAACCGCTCAAAACCCGCTCAAACCGCTCAAATCTTGCTTCAAATTAGGTGGAAAATCTCGACTCGGGCTAGAGAATAACTAGTTTGTCAATAATTTTTTTTAGAAAAAACAACGGCTCAACAAAAAAGGTTTTTGAACGAAGAGTTTTTTTAATAGACGAACCTTGGTATGAATCCAACTCGAATCGGACCAAAGCAACATCGGTATCGAACTCGTATATGATGCTAGTGTTCCCGGCCTCCAGACTTTCATCGGCATCATCTAGCGACTCGTATCCTATCTGGGATCCTGAAACAAGCAAAGAAAATCAGAATTCTTCTATGTCAGTACTTTAATATTTTTTAACAAAAGCAAAATGAATAATGAAGCAAATATTACATTTGTTGGAACATACCGTTGTACGAAAACTGGTTAATGACGAGAGTCGTGGATTCGTTGATGTTCGCATTTGGCCACGAGACATTGACTCGGGTGGCACTCAGATACTCGATCTGCAGCAAACCATCAACCAGCTCATCGTGGAAGGAGAGTGTAGCGTCTATCTTTCTCTCCACATTGTCTACGTCCATGCTTACCTGGACCACCTCGTTCGCGCCCCAAAACACCGGCACAGGTATGATCACTATGGTTCTGCTGTAGTCAAATGAGGCCTGGATTGTCTTGTTGAATGAGCTGCCAATCAACTTGACGTCGAGGGTGAAGTCGCTGTTGTGGAAGAAGCCCGTGCATTGAATGACCACCTCATCAACCGAGTTATCCCCACCTGAGTAGAGTGGAAGAGACGAAGGCATGAAGTAGGCTCCATGGCAAAAGGATACCAGGTGTGGGGGGATGAGAACAAAAGGCGCCTCGTATCCCTGGTTGAATTCAAAGATCCACAGTCCTGGAACTCCGACGTTGCTTGTAGTCTCCCACTTTTGGGCTTTTTTGGTTCCATCAAATGGCAGTTGTACGTTGCCTGAAAACAAACAAAACATCGTCAAATATCAAGATAACCTAATTTCAATCTATTTTCAATCTATGCAATTTTAATGCTGAGTTGATTAATTTGGTTGGCTATGTCAGCGACGCAAACTAACGAACTTCCAATTTTTGTCAAAATAACGTTATTTTGACCAAAATAAAAAATTCATGTGTCGACAAAATTTACCGACAAACAAACCGACAAAATTTACATAACAGCTATTTGTGTGCTGAATCCATAGAAGTTTTGGAAAAGTAATCCATCATGGAGTTTTTTAATTGGAATCCAATTGGAAATTGATTAAAGACTTATCCCTGGAATCTAGTGACCTACAGAAACCAAATTGTGAGCCTACCCAGTGCACAGTTCGGCCTCGTAATGCTTTTTTTAACCTAAATCAATTTTGAATACCTTTTTATAGAAATCATGCAAACTTGATGGCACTTTTAAGTTTGAGCTCAAGATAAAATGAAGAAATAGAAGCTATTGTGGAAATATAAATTTTCTATTGTGTAGAAGTATGATTGGGATTTATGGTACTTATTTTCTAACCACTGTCAAGAGCGAACGAAGCTTCTGCGCTAGAACCATCTTCGACCATATAGTTCACATCCCGGTATTGAGTCATCATGTAGCATTTGTTGTCAGTGACGTGGACTGTCTGATTGGTTGTGTTTTGTGCTTGGTCACAAGCGATGACGACTTGAGCGCTGATTTGATAATTCAGCAGGAAAGAGTAGTCTTTGACTTTGTAGAAAGTCATCACAGCGCCATAGTCAGCTGAGAAGTCCTGGCCGATACGGGAGTTGATGATGTCCAAGTCATGTTGGCTGGAAATGTTACGAACAAAGATATTGTCAACCAGGTTAACGTATTTGGTGTCCGCCCCTCCTAGAACGGTAGTCCACTGGTCGTCAAAGTAGATGTCCACATTTTTTCGCAGGAAGCTGATGTAATCCCACTCGTGTGCTTTTTCGTATGTGAAGATGATGGCATGTTTTCCAGTGACGTAGTCGGAAAAATCCGCTTCATAGGCGTCGGAAGTACTGTCGTACTGCAAGTACCATTCGCATATGTTATCGTCGTCATCGACTGAGGGCATGCACATTCTGTCCAGTATGGTGTCTTCAGTGTCTCCGTCAATATCCGCAATTTCGATGTTGTGTGTATCACCCGCGTCATCAACAAGGTCAATGTACACATTCGGGCAAGCTTTGACTCCAACGATAGTGTAGTTGTCATAGCGCAAGGGTCCTTCAAGTCCCATTAGATCACTAGTACACCCATCTGCTTTGTCCTGAAACTTGTCCCCGACGTCTGGTCCAAATTCCAAGTCAAACGGTTCCTCCAAACTCCATCCGCCCCCAAATGTCGTCCAAAGTACGAAGACTAGCAATCCCATCTTATGGACCACGAACCAGTCCATACAATTGACATTCATAACTGATGTCCTTTGAATTATTGTAGTTTCAGAACTAACTTTTTAAATCAGTTTTAACAAACTGACAATTCAAGACAAAAATGAATACTGAATAGTTTTTCAAATCGAAACGGCACAGCTGATAGTGACCAATCATATTGGCCTCATTCAAACAGCTGCGCTTTAACTGGTCAGATATTCTTGTTTGTAATTCTTAATGCTCTAAATTGAAAAAAGATTTTTTGATTCAAATCATAATATTTTAAAAAACATTGGGTGCAATGATACGTGAGCCGATTTGAATGGAATACCCACAAAAGCGGACACGCAAAAACTTGTTCTATAGAGCGTAGAAAGGGACCCGACTCTGAATTCACTGCTAGTCATTAAACAAGTCTTTGATTTACAGAGAAAATAAAAAACCGACGAAAAAAAAGTTTTTTAAAATTTTGGTAAAAACCTATTTTAAACAAAATTTTTGGTCGTTTGATGAAAGTTTTCGTTTAATTAAATTTTGATTAAGTTTATGAAAACTTTGGTTGAGTTTCATGTAAAACTTTAGTTGAAATTCTGAAATTTTCGATTTAGTTTCATCAGGGGCGGATCTAGGATTTTATCGAGGGGGGGGATTTTTAAAATTTTTCGAAAATGTTGTCGACCTTTTTTTTTAATTAGGTCAACTAAATTGGTTTTCTGAGCTCTCCCAAATTACTAAAAAGACCTTGCTTTGGCCAAATTTTGTGCGCCGCAGGCAAAATATTGAAAAAAAGGCCGAAAAAGCGCTCTTAGGCAATTTTTAAAAATTTTTGACCAAAAAAATCGCGTTTTTTCGGCGCACGGTCCCCCCTTAACATTAGTATATATTGGCGCCAAAGGCGCCTTTAGAAAAATTTAGGGATCCCTCAGCCAAAAATGGATATCACAAAATAGTTCAAAAGGGGGACCCTTTGGGTCGGCAGAGGGTCGAATCCCTGAAGCGGGGAGAGGAAGAGTCCGCCTCGCCCCTCCTAAATCCGCCCCTGAATTTCATGAAGTTTTTGGTTTCCATTCATGAAAAATTTGGTTTGGTTTCATGAAACGCAGATTGTCGTAACGCTACTCAATTTTCTTTAATATAACAAAAATAAAGTTGCGTGGGCAGCAAATTGCTGACGAGGGCATATAAAAAGTTCCGTCGACCTTTTTGTGTACCTTTCTGTTTATCACGCTGTCAAATTTTCGGCCGGATAGTTTCAACCAACTCCTTAGTCTATACATCTCAATACATCCTCAATTACTGGCAAAAGAGGGTTAAAGTGGAGAGCGGGAGGGGGAGGGGAGAGGGGAGGTTGAGAAAAAAGAGCCTAAATCTCCACTCAATCTCCACTCAGCGTTAGGATTCGGCTGCTTTTATGAATTGTGGTCTGCGCAAATTGTGGTCTGTTACGAACAATTGTGCCCAATCGAAACTCTCACAATCTATCACATACTACGACCCCTTCTTTACTACTGTGTTCCGACATCCAGTTTGACCCCCCCCCCCCCCCCCACCGTCACAATGGGACAGAGACAGATGGAGGATATTCGCGAGAAGGGGACGGGAGTATGGGTAGTTGTATAAAAAAGAACGAAAAGTTCCTTGATAGTTTTTGATTGTTATCTAAATAATAATAATAACCAAAATGATTTTCTGATCTGTTCCTATAGTGTAAAAAGGCCGGAGTCTGGCAAAATTTTGATACTAAACCTATCCAAAATGCCATTTTGGGCACATTTTCAAACAATTGGATTGTAAATTTTCATCTTTTGGCGCTCGTTCTCCTTTTAAATTACAATAAGCGCCAGGGGGGAGGAGAAGAGAGGCGGGAGGGGGGAGGGGGGAGAGGTATTGAATGATGCTTATTTTCTTTTTTCTCTTCGCTAAACCCGCTGCTGATATTGGGTCCCTCTTCATCGTTTGTAATCAACTCGCTTGCTTTGTTTTATAACCAGACCATCGGCCTCGTTTTTTATTGAATCAAACATTTAAAAAATCTACAGGAAACGTGTGATGCTTTTCCATTTTTTTGGAAAAGTCTGTTTTTGTAAACAGGAACACAAAAAAAACAAAACTGCCCGTATCAGAGAAAAGCGTTGAATGTTCCGACTACTTTTTAAGGTCTATGAAGCAGTAGTAACATGAAAAAATTAAATGTAATAAAATAAAATTAAAAAAAGTTTGAAATAAATTGAAATTTTTTGTGAAAATCATCCCCCCAACACGCCATATAAAGTATAAAGTGATAGATTTTGCTCCTAGATATCAATTATCGTAAATAAGCTTCGTTTAATCAATTTGGAACGACTTCTAAGACGGATTAAATCTCCGCTTACGCGTTAATAGCGCGAAATATATCGCGCGTTAATTGTCCCTAATTGACCAAAATGGCAATCTTTAAACCCTCATAATTTTACGAAAAATGATCACAGGTGAAATATCTTTTCAAATTTGAGGTCAGGACAACAATATTTTTTGAATGATATAAAAAATTCCGTCAAAAATGGTTAGTTAAAAAGTCGAAATTGGTCTGAAGAAAAAAACCCACCTAGAGCACAAATATTCCGTTACTTTCGTTAAGAAAGTCGGAACAACACGCCATTTAAATCGCTAGATTTGGGGAAAGTTGAAGCTTTAATTTAGTTCTAATTTTTTTTCGGTCACCAACAAATACTTTCGTGTTCGCAAAGCTAGCAATTGAACTTTGGTTATATAATTGGTCTTATAATTAAGAGACATGTCTTCTAGCATACCAACGCAAGCTGATTTGAGATGCTTTCATGCAAGTTCATTGGTACAAAAGACAGTCTTAATTAAATGCGCTCTTTTGTTTTCATGACTTATTTGAGCGTAAAGTCGAACAATTTGTACGTCCAATTTACCATCTCAAGCTGAGTAACTAAGAGTTTAAAATACAAAATGGACCAATGTTGTACTTTTGAAGTACTTCTGATTTAATGAGGTTACTTCTTTTTGTTTTTGCTTATTGTTCGACTTTTCTTTCATTTATTTTCATCATGTTTGTCAGCTTGTACGGGGCAGTATAACAGTGCCGAAGTACAACAGTGCCGAAGTACAGCAGTGCCGAAGTACAACAGCTCCGAAAATCAAAATCTTGTTCAACACTGCCGAAAATTATTTTGAATACTTTGTTTTTACTCTACCCAAATCATTGACAAATAATTATATTGAAATCGGAATGGACAGAAGTTGAAAAGACAAAAAATGCCATTTTCATTGAAGCTGCTTGTCAATTATACAAAAATTACCCAAACGCGGCGTCATAAGTTTTTCTGAACAAACTATCAACTCAGCAAATTGTCAGATTTTTTTCTCGGTTTCGGTCCAAAACAAAACATAGTATTCACGCAAATTTGCCAACAGTTCGCCAAAACACTTCAAAATTCCCAAATATGATGAAATTTTTGAGAGACTGTTCAACGCATTTTCAGTTTCGGCACTGTTGTGATTCGGCACTGCTGAACGCCCCCTCTTGTTCGCATATATGTTTAATTAGGTCCAGAAAAGGCAAATTATCATAGCTGGAGCCTCAAGTCTTGATTTAAAGACGTTTCTTTTATGTTTTTCTCAAGCTTTTGATTTTTGTCAAATTATACGCTTTCATTGTTTTTCTAACATTTGGTAAAAAGATAACAAAGATGAAGCTTTGAAGAAAAGATTCATTTGATTAGCTGCAGAAAAGCTGCAGAAAATAATAATGACTTTTTGATATCTGTATATTGGTATTTTGGTTTTTTTAAAATCAATTAAAAAAAACAAGACTGCTTGTATTAGGGCAAAGCCCTGAGTGTTCCCACTGCCGTGTTAAGTCTATGGGGTAGTGTTCGCTTTAGAAAAAAATTAAAACTATCAAAAAACGATTCGACGTTTTTTTTCGGACTTTATTTTGCTAAACTCAACCCCCCACACGCCAAGTAAAGTACAAATTAATACATTTAACATATAACCAAGTACTTAATAGATCAAACAACACGCATGTTTCCAATTGGAACAATTTCTAAGACGTTATCAATCTGCGCCTACGCGTTAACATCTCAAAATATATCGCGCGATAATTATTCCAAACTAGCCAAATTGGCAACCTTAAAACCCCCATAACTTCATAAAAAAATTCACAGGTGAAATATATTTTTTTATTTTGATTTTAGAAGAACAGGACCTTTAATATCATTTAAAAGTTTACGTCAAATGTCAAAATGGCTTGTCAAAAATCGAAATTTGTAGGAGAAAAAAACCCACTCGAGCACAACTATTTTGTCACTTTCTTCGAAAGTCGGAACAGAAAGATTGAAAAAAAAATTAAGCATGAGCTCCTATTTTAATTATAGATTTCTTAGCCGACAATTTTTGAAGAAAATGACAGAAAATTTGTGACTGTGATGGTATGTTTCTCTCCAGACAAATTCCTACTTTTCAACTAGACTTGTTTGACGGAGTTGTTTTGCATCAGCCAAAAAATATTGTTGTCTTGAGCTCAAATTTAACAAGATAATCATGTGTGATTGTTTTTCGTAAAGTTAGGGGTTTTAAAGATTGCAAATTTGGTCAAATTGGGTTAATTAACGTGCGATATGTTTTGCGCTGTTAACACATCCGTCTTAGAAATCGGTGCAAATTGAACTGAGCCATGCTATTTCAACTATTTTGTAATATTTTGATAAATGCTGCATAAATCAGTTTAATTATATCAAAAGCTAACTTAATATAACGTATAGAGGATAATTTTCACAACGAAACACTGAAAAAAAAACAACGTTTTTTCGAAAGTTTATCATTTCTTTTAAACGGAACTTTCAAAGCTTCGCCCTGATACGAGCAATCCTGTTTATAGTCTGCTGCGTTTCCAACCCTTATGAGATCTAGGTTTCACTCTAATAACAAAAAACTTGATGACATGAAATTCTTTTTTGTGCGTAATCGTTTTGTAAAGGAGACTAGAGATCATGTCAACATTCTTCAGTTTCAAGTAATTTCGCCCCTTTATTGCTTTAAAAATCTTCTCGGTGCCGAGAAAAGTTTACGCAAAGTTTTTGCCTTAAAAAATTTTTGAGTAGAAGTTTATTTTAAGACATTTACCTCAGGCACACA